TCATCTGCCCACCCCTGTAACCTGTCCAGGTCCAATTGCAGCCTATTCCTCCCTTCTAGTGTGCCCACATCCCCCCACATCTTAGTGTCGTCTTCAAATTTGAATGGGGTGCTTTTTACACCCTCATCCAAGTCGCTCTCTCTCTCACACACACACACACCTAACAAATATACACATACCCACAACCTACCATTAATCACGGGTGTAAACACTGCCATGCCCTCGAACTTCGGGTTGCTTACAGTTTTGTCCAAGATTAGCCCACCAATGCTATTAGAAAAGACACAAAGAAAGAGTATTACCTACTTGTTCCTCTTCCACATGGGGCAGAGTGTATAAGCACCGAAACCTTCAGCTCAGAAAAAATACAGATGAAAATCCCTGATTGTAACAGGCCACTTCATGGCCCAGAGCGAGACTGTTTTAAAATAGGCTTCTTTTATAGTTAATTTTTTTACCAAAAGATATTCTTGGAGCTGTTGACAGTGGTATCAGGAGATAACTATACAGGGATTATGAATGATCAGGTGTTGTTTTGGTGACAACAACACAGCTAGACTGTGTGTCACACCACTGCACTGCAATGACATGGTAGAGGAAACTGGAGGAAGAGCTTACATTTCACATCACATCTGATTGTCCATGTCTGGCAGCACATATTCCTATTTTGTGGTATAGAAAAAGAGTTCAAGTGATCTGAGGCTGTACAAATGCAGTCTTTTTTTCTGGGTTTGTACAGCACCAAGCACAGTGCAACTGTGATCCAGGACTGGGGCTCCCAGGAGCTACCTCAATACTGCTGCACAGATAGGAAGTACCTCAGCATGGAACAGATATGTTTGGTTTACAGGAGGCCATATTTCCCCTTACTGGACTATTCCCACATCCTGAGCAAGGCCACACACTGGACCAAGGAAAGATGCACTGATTTTACAGACCTGCAAAGGCAGAGCTCACATTTGTATCTATTCTGTTCCCCTGTCCTGGAACAGCATTGCAAAAAGCATATTGGTCCTCAAAGGGCTTTTAATGCACTATCAAAATATCTCTTTCCCTGAGACTGCAGCAGTTAAAAGATATGGGACTATACATTGCCACCATCACCTCAGACAAGCAGAATTGTTGACTTCGTTCCAGACTGTTATTTCCTGAAACAGAAAACTAATCCTGTGCCTCTGTATATAGTGGTGGGGGGTGTATAAGCATGCACACAGACTTAAGGGGATGGTTTCTCCTGTATTTACCTGCTGATGCTCATTGCAACAATGACCGGCTGCCATCCAGATTTCAGGACAGTGGCAAGAGAAGGACTCTGCCTGGCAATGGCCACCCAAAGAGGGATCATGACAATGAAGCCTACACAGATGAGAGGTGACAGGTATTTCACATCTGGAGAGGAAAAGAAATTGTAGGTTAAATGCAACCTGCAGGTCGCTGGCTCCATAAGGCTGCACACAATCCGATTGCACAAAATCTTTGCACTTGGACAGGAAGGAAGCAGTGAACAGGACTCAAGTCTTTTTGGTACAAGACAGGAATCACATGATCCTGGAAACATTTTCTCACAGTCCATAGTTACCCTGTGAAACTCACTGCCACAGGATTTTCCTGGCACCAAGTGCAAGATCTATACTTAAAGGAAACATGTACAATTTTATGAAACAGGATAGAAGTGTACAAGGGACATTTACATCATGGTACAAATCAACTACTAATGCTCGGAACCTCAGTGGCAGCTACTCTTAAGGGCAAGTTATACCATAAATGGACAGTCGGAGGCATCCCATCCTTTCCTCTGAAGCATCTGGCAAGAGCTACTCTTGATGACAGGCTAGTAGACTAGATGGACAATTGATCTGATAGAAAATGAAAATTGTTCTCTCCTTATGCTCCATATGTTAGCCAGCTGGGTTGCAGGATTATCTCTTGCTAGCTTACAGGCTTTTCTCTGAGCTTTTTTTTTCCCATTCCAGCAGTAACATAACCTTGAAATGACCTTTAGAAGTGAACAGGGCTTAGAAGAAAAAAAGATTTGCTACACTACGAGAAAATAAACATGACTCAGAACCACAAGGAAGCACTAGAAACACCTTCAAGCAATGGGGATCCTGCCAGGCCTTTTTGATATGCTAATGTCTTTCCTACCAGGCTCTCCATCTGTTTTCTGTACTGGATCCAAATCTGGGCCAGTTGCAATGCAGTTATTTTTGCAGGTAATGAGACATACAAAGCAAGCTTGAAATGTACTTTTTTCCCCCCAAAAAGATGTTCAGATCCTTAAGGTACAGAGGTAAGACAGCACTCATTTTACTGAAACAGTATCTTACCTGTGTCAACACCTCTTTAACTAAGAAACACATTCATATTGCAATTCACTCATCACACCACCAAACCACAGCCTCTTTAGGGGTACAAATGGCAGCTACTTAACTTCGCAGTGTCACCTCTAGCCAGTGAGGAAAAGAAGCAAACAAGTTGGGGGGGTGTCTAATAGAGTTAAACACTGAACCTCCCCCCAGTCTTGCTGTTTGGGGCAGTCTGCTGACTTTTAAACCATAGGTCAGCAAGTCATGTGCATCCATCAGCTATAATCCAATGCTCACTGAATGATAAAGACTCTGATTAGAAGGAACTGGCTTTGGATCAAGTCTCAAGACAGTCTCTGGGCCCTAAATTTGAGCACCCATTCTCACAAATAGCTCCTTACAAAGCAAGCACTGTCACTGGCTTCCTGTTTGTTGAGTCAGGTATTCCTCCGTGCTAGCAAGGGAGGGCAGAGCCAGCCCCTTCCTTATGTAGAACTGCAAGGAACCAGTGTTGATGTTAAGAGATTAAAACACCACGTTAGAAGAAGGCTGTTGTACTTCTGGGAGCATGAGACCTAAAAAGGCATGTTACAGTATGGACCTCACCAGCATCCTGAAAGGAGTTTAATTCTCAGTGGTCACGAATTTAACAGCTCAGGTCACAGGAACTGCAGGAACCCGCACCTCATCCCATTCTCCCCCCCTGCCACAGCAGAAACCGTTTGTTTGGAAATCTAGAAAGCCCAATCGGGTGACACAGCGCTAATGAATGATTCAAAACTACCAATCCCCTGATGGAGCATTTGTGAAGGAACGTAGGCCCTTACCAGTTGCATTGGTATCCTTACCATACCACTCTCCTTCACCAGTATGTCATACTATCTATCTTGCACAGATATTACTTGAGTTGATGTCATGGAAGACAAGCCAGTTTTATATGGGTAGATGCAATAGCACCATAGGAAACTGCTTGTTAAGGGACTTTCTTTCTGAGGGGTAGGGGAACTAGACTGAAATGAACCTTAGACCTTATCCTGGTTCTTTCCCTTGGGTTTTTCTCCTATATACAAGCATGTGGAACAAGTTACTGTAAATCAGAAACAGCTGTCTCTCTCACATTTTCTGCTCTCAATTTTAAGTGACAGTTTGGTTTGTAACTGCAACAAGCTTTTATTTTTTAACACATCCTCAGTTGATTAAAAAAAAACGCACACACACACTAAGGCTTTTCTGTTCCTTTTCGAGGCCAGGCCCATGGTAATTGGCCTAGAAGTTTTCAGACAATTAAAGCAAAAATCAAATTTAGTCCCACCAGATGCCATATATTTTTCTGGCTCATAGTGGGGAAGCAGTTCGGGTGTCAAGTTAAGCCAGTGGCCGCAACTGCTGGGTAAAAGTGGTCTCTCTGCGCGTAAGGGCCTGCAGACGTGTTGGGAGGCTGCTCTGATGCATCATAACTCTTGCGCATTAGAGTAGACTTGATTAATCGAATCTTCAGGAGCATGATAATTACTGCACTCCAGCAGCCTCCGTGCCTTGTGTATCAGCATCCCCATGCAGCTGGTGGTGTTTTAACTAAAGCTCATTCAGCAACTTCAGTTAAAGCAGCCCTGCCACCATTTTGAAGCATGGGGACGCTGATACAGAAGATGCTGCTGGCAGTCAGAACCACTCTAATTAAAGTGTCCCCCACCACCCCTCTGCAACATGAATAAAAACACCCTGTGAGTCTATGCTGTTTTCCTTCCCCTGTTCCCAGCTGATCACAGTGCTTTGTGTTTACACAGCACGTTTTCCCAGAGGATCTAAGAGAAGTTAATGATACTGAAGCCCTAAAACAGTGTACTCTTCCTTGCAAAGCTCTTACTTGTATTTTACAGGTGGGGTTGCAGGGGTCACGACAGAACAAGTGATTAAGTTAGCATTACACTTAGTTAATGAAAGGTTCAGGAGGAGAACCCAGGAGTCCCGAATCCCAGGCTTCTGCTCTAACCATGATGGGCATTATCACCGTTCTACCAAAGATCGCAATAACCTCCTCTGGGTTCCCACCATCCAGGAAAAGACAGGTTCATACAAGAGGCGTTTAGGGTTATTTGCAGCCCTAGGGGCACCCTGGCATCTGGAATACTTTGCCCAACCTAGCTTTGAACATGCCTGGGAAGGGGGACATATCCCTTCCACGGCTGAACAGAACTCCATCGGGCTTCTCTTGATACCTGAGCTGTACCATACCTATGTATTTGAAGAGGGTGCTGCTGATTCCTGCCAGAAGAGAAAGGGTTATCAAGTCTCCAAGGCTTGCTGCTATGGGGGTGGCGACGTTGTCCGGGTTTATTCCCACTTTCCTGGCACCAATAATTACTCCAATCATCACCAGACCTAGGGAAGACACCAGATCAGAAATCAGACATGAGGGAGGATGCAGCCTATTCTACACTGTGCCACAGCTTGAATTGGGTCTGGTTTGGCACAAGGATGAGAGGAGGGCAGAGGGCAGCTCTCCACATGCTTGGATGCTGCACCCAGTGAAGGCTGGTCACACCGTGTGGGCCCAGTAGAGATGATGTGGCTCCCCCACAGTTAAGTCCACCAATGCTCCAAAGGAGATGCCCACCAAAACAAACTCCAAGGCTCAATGCAGCTATCAGTGAACAACTCAAATATAGGTACTTCCACATTCATCAAGCTAATCTCTACTGGCTTCAAGATTAGCTTGATGAATTCACAGATAGATACAAGGGGTGCCTATGCACGTGCTCCAATGCCTTCTGATTACAACGTGTTGGAGAAGACTCGATTAATCGCACTTTAGTGAAAGTGCCTCCTCTGCCGCTTTGAAACATGGGACGCTGAATACACGAGATGCTGCAACATTTTAATTAGATCGGCTCCTGAGAGCCAGTCTAATTACAGCACCCCCACCCCAGAGCATGCCTTGCCCAAAGTGAACAGGCATCAGCAGGCTGTACAAGGCTGGTGGCTTTCTCTGATCTAGATTCAATGGCACAAAGCTATTTTCCAGAGTATTATTCAATTACACTGTATTGATTTTGTACTCAGTTTTCAACTAGTCAGGTAGCTCTGCACTGCCATAAGCAGATCCTTAGCCAGCTCTGTGGCTTCAGGCTTAACAGGCTGATGCATCCCTATGCAATATGAATGACCCACTGGGTCACATCGCCCTTGTGGCTATTCGAATATACACTGGGGATGCACTAGGAATAGCATATCTTGTATCCATGTAAGGGGTTGGACTAGATGACTCCCGAAGTCCCCTTTTAACCCTATTATTCTGTGACAGTCCTGGGATCCAGATGTGCCCCCAGCCTGAGCTGTGCCAAGCAAAACTGGCCCGCAGGTCAGGACCTTAGGCTCCGGTGCTCTTGGAAGTTTAGTTTGTTAATATAAGCTAGTGAGCCCCAGGCTCAGCACAGAAGAGCAGGTGAGAACCTCGTGGCACACAGAACTCGCGTCCGGTTGTGGAAAAAGGATCTGAAGATCACACGTCCCAGTCTGACCCCATTGTTTTATGACTAACTTGGGCAGTCTCCAAGACCCCAGCGCAAGCCCAGATGAAATTTCCTCGTGGCACTGTGTCATATTCTGATGCCCTCAGGCACCTTGCTAACCACTGTGGGGATGGAGCTGAAAACACAGGCTGGAAAAGGAGAACGACTCTGGCTCAGAAGCCATGCAGCTGCTCAAGGAAGCCCACCAGCGCCTTCTGGAGGACGCTCGCTCTTCCCACACACCACAAATGCAGCCCCATAGATGAAATCTCCCGTCAGAGACAATAACATGCCCCCACTGTCTTCTTCCAAAATGCACATGCACCACAACATAACGCATGTTGTCTTGTTCCCTTCTACACGCACTGATTGAATTCACTGCCCTCAGTGCACACCCAGATCCACCTCTTTGTACTAACAATTTGTGACCATTTCTACAATAACCCTAACATGAGCTGAAGGACTAAGAGACACATAAGTCAAATCCTTCATTTTGATACCCAAAAAGGTACTTGGACGACAGAGGGAAGTGAGGGTTAATGAAGCCTGCAGAGTTTTTAAGATGTCTAAAATGTCTTGTGCTCCTCACATAGGCAGAGCCCTCACTCCCTGGCCTCCCTGCATCCACACTCTCTCAGAAGACTTTGCAGTGCTTATGTGTAGTGTTTCGAGTCCGTAACACGTTCCCGTCTCCTCACCATTAGGGGATCTCCTGGTGCCCTCTTGTGGCACATCTGTGAACCTCTACTCTTATCTTCGACCAACAGATGCCCCAAAATGGCACTACTGTAAAGCGGCCCATGCAAACATACTTATTACCCCATTTTATAAACAGAGATGCTTGGAGAATCGAAGTAGCTTGTCCAAGATCAAACAGTGAGTGAGATGCAGGGAGGGAAGTCACAGGTGCTGCTTTATGCAAAGAGGGACAGCTGGGGCAGTCATTTCTCACCTCCCCCAAACACCTGCCATGTTTTCTTAGCTCTACATGTTATATGAGAGATTGAAATGTGTGTGCCTGTGTGCGTTTCGTACCTGGTATATTTTGGATAGGGCAGTACTAAGCTGCCACACACACTCACGGTGCAGTCATTGCAAGATCATCTCTACACTTAGGTGTAGCTCCCGCTCAGCGCTGAATGTCATATCCTGCTCTACCGTGAGAGAGACACCAAGGCACACATTTGGATGGACATTGTTATGTGTGCTAGATGGTACGGTGGGCTTCAGAGCCGCTCAGAGATCTGCCCTGGGACAGTTAAGCTGACCTCCAAGAAGACAGAGGAAGGAACTCATCTGAAGGATGACACCTCTTTGTGACAGCAGTTCTTCTCTCATGGTTAATCTCAACCCTACCGGACCGGATGCTGAGTTTCCAAACTTTCAGAGCACCGAGGACAGCCCGCAGTTCTGTTCTTTCTTTCACACACAAGCATGTGACAAAGTTCAGAGCTGAATGAAAATGTCTTCCTTACTGAACACAGAGACTGGGAGGCACAGCCCACTAAAGACAAGAGAGGCCCAACCTTGGGGATCAGAGAGCCCAGAAATCAACAGAGCATGGAGGCAAAAGGGATGGGGATGCAGATCATAGGGTCCAAACAAGGATTCAGATGGGAACCCTGGACAACACTTGCGGTCCTATACAGTCTCTGGATGCTGCCCAGGGCATCTATGCACTGCTGGGCGACTAGACGAGAGGCAGGAACACCTGCCCCATGCAGATTCCTCCTCCTGGGGCCTTCTTTGCCAATACTGAGAGGTGCATGAGGAGGAAGTTTCAGGACTTCCTCTGGAGGCTGCACATGTATGACCTTGATAGCATCAGAGTCAAGTTCCCTCATGTACCTATGCGTTTCAACCCCTCGCCTAGTGGGGAGAAGGGGGCTTGGTCTCCATGTTATAAACCTGAAAAGGGACCAGCGAGGGGTAGCGATTCAAACAATATCAGTCACATTTTGATAACATGGGTTCCTGTTGGTTGAGAACACAACTGAGACTCCCCAAATCGCTTCACATCCATTACCAAGCACTCTGCAGACAGGGAAGGTTTGTGGAGGACAGGGAAGCAAACCTGCAACAAATGACAATGAGGATCTTGCTGGCTGAGCTCCAGAAGGTGGTTAATGAAACTCACCGAGTGAGAGCGCGGCTATGAATGCTGTAGTCACACTGCTGGCGCACAGAACCGCTGCCTGATTCAGCTCCACATACCCCTTTGAGATTGCTCCCAGGATGACAGCAGCTACAGCAGCCAGAAGCCCCACCACAGTAGCTTGTACCTGTTGGGCATAAAAAGCACTGGTAGGCCATCTTCCATGACACATCAGTGGCTGTGAAAAGATACGCAAGAGACTGCACTCCCTAACCCCACCTAACTCCCATCACCAGCACCATGCTAACAGAAATGAGATGCAGGGTAATTCCTCCTCAAGCTTTAGAAACTGACCCCTGCAGGTCAAGCTAGCCATGCACCTTTAAAGGAAAATCCAACCGAGCGCTCAGTACTGGGGCTGTGTGAAACGGCACCGTTCTGTTTTGACTTGTGTTTCAAGGTTTCGACAGAACAGTGTTTCATTTCTAATTTCAGTTCAACTCAAAACAGCTGCTCCATTTTGCTTCGTTGAAACAGTGAAGCTGTTCCGACGCTGTTTGACGTTTCGCCCATTAGCTATAATGGGGAAGCTCGAAACAGCCTCTCATCTGGCAGGCACATTGAGGCTGCGGGCTCTAATCCGCCTGCCAGATAAGGGAGGGAAGCCGGCGCTGCTGCCTGGCATTGGAGAAGGGAACTGAGTCCAATTGCTCAGTTCCTCTCCCCAGTGCTCGATCTAGCGCTGGGGATGGGAACTTAGCCCGGCTGGATTGACTTCCCATCCCCAGCTCGATCGTAGGGCTGGGGAGGCGAACTGAGCAATCGGGCTCAGTTCCCTTCCTCATCCCCATCGCAGCGCTTGGGAGGGGAACTGAGCCTGGGCTCAGGTCCCTTCACCTGCGCTGTGATCGGCTTCCCATAGCCAGGCAGCAGGAGACGGGGAGAGCCAGGGCTGCCGGCTGCTGCTGGGAGCACAGCCCTGGTTCTCCCGTCTCCCACCACCTCACTGCTGGCTGTTTCGAAACTCAAAATGTTTCAAAACATTTCGAATAGCTTCTTTTTGTTTTGAGGCTGTTTCAAAGCCCTTCGTTTTGATTTGATTTCGCTGTTTTGAGCTCGAAATGAGTCGAAACAGTGTTGAATCGAAACAGCCGGAGAAATTTCACACAGCCCTACTCGCTACTGACTGTAGCAAGCTGATGACAATGTATGTGCACTACTGCCTTCTACTGAACGGGATCACGATGGGTCTGTGGACCATTTGCTCTCTACAGCTAACACTTGATGAAGATTCCCATTTGAGTAAGTAAAATTGGCCTATGCTTTAGAAATAGGAGAACCACGTTCTCTCCCCAAGGGTGTTGAGTGGCTATGAGTGTGTGAACAAGTGTAAAGGTGGTCACAGATTTGGCACAAAAATCAAGAGACCTTCATGGAAAGGCTCCATGCCAAAAATCCCAAGCAAGTGGGCAAAAGTCCTAGAGGTCTGAAAAGCACAGATAACTGTATCCCAGAGATACAGTTATCTGTACTTCACACTTCAATGGTGGGACATCCCTCACTCCACACAAAACGGAAGTCCCGTCCACCAAAGCATCTTAGAAAGCTGATCTGTGCATGTGGAGAAAAGGAAGGATGCAGAGGCACACTGTGAACATCCCACAGTCCAACAATGTGCAACACCCGGGTTTCTGGGTGCAAGTTACAGTACAGAGAGTTCCTAGAGTCAACTGGTTTCTCATAGGGGCAGACTCCCTGCCACCTGTAATAAATCAAAGCTTGTTCACACGGGAAAACAGACTGGAATTGCTATTGTGAAATAGCTTTTTGGCAATAAACTCCCCACGTAGACACTTTTATTGCACACAAAGACAAGAATGCCTTTCTGGAGCTCAGCTCAACCCACAAGGTGTATCCAAAGTGGAGTTACTGCAGAGCACTGCTTGTGCTTTACAGTCACACCTCGCTTCTTCTAGAATAAACTGCCCTGTGTAGAGAAGCCCTACAACTAACAGAGATGGCAGGAAGCGTTGGCTCCATAATCCACCTCAGTGCAAATCCCCAAGAGAGAGCTGCCCTAGAAAACACTGTTTAAAGAAAGGAGAGGGCATTCTCCACAGCTCCAGCTCACCTGAATCAGCGCTAAATTGCAGGTGGCCATCTTCCACTGTTCCTGGGTATCATCCATCTGACCAGTGTTAGCCTGAAAGTGAACAGAGAGTAAGCATAAGGCACTGAGAGCCACCAAATTAAGCAAGGCTTCACTTGCACCTTGTGGGAAAGGGCAAGCTAAAGCCAAAAAGGCAACAGTTCCCAGCCAGTGTCTTCAATCTTCCCGCTTCTCCCTCTTTTCTCATTACTCAGAATTCCCCAAACCTGCCCTCACCTCTGAACCAGAGGTCAGGTCCTGTCACTAGGAGGTGGGGAGGACATCAGAAGATATTTGTGTACACAAAGCCTGCAGGGCAAGTCCAAATATTACTACCTCCCCAAGGCTCAGGGTCCCAAAAACGTCATCCTTGCTGCTCTGGCACAGCACCTGCCTTTGAAAACCTGATGTGTGGTGCCAGGATCTTGGGGCTAGCGTGGGAAGGCAAGGCCTCTCTACTTCACCACAGGTCACGAGGTCCAGCAGCCTGAGACCATTCCCTCTGAGACTCACGACAGAAACTACTGAGCTGATGATGCTGTGCTCACTAAAGGAGGACATGATAAAATAACCCCCTCTCAACCCCAAGAGGGAAAGAGAAATGCTTTCAGAGTAAGATTTGTAGAAGGAACAGCATCAAGGGGCCAAAGTATCAGGCTGATGAGATTCCCTCTCAATCGTCTCAGGCTCAGAGATACCCTGTCATCTCACACAAAGGCTAATAAAGCCATTTTCCCCTACTTACTCCTCATAAGTTGTTGGGGGTTTTCCCAGCCCTAGCCTGTCTCAACAACAGATTTGCAATGCGAGCATCCCAAAGCAATAAAACTGCTACAGGAACTTCTAAAGGGCAGTTAACCCCTGGGGCAGTGGTGGGCAATTATTTTGGTGGGAGGGTCACTTAACAAGTTTTGGTGAGCTGTCAAGGGCCACACAGATAAAAATCTTTCTAAAGGTATCATATGCCAGAAATCAAACACCAACTATAACATTTAAATTTTATTTCAAAAACATTTTTTTGTCCTGATTTGTTTTCTTGAGTAATGTATATAAAGTCAATTGCATAATAGCTCAAGATAAAGTCTTACTCTTATATATTGTGAGGGGGGATGGGGGGAAAGGGGGAATGTCAGGTTGGGGGGCATGTAGGAGGTGTGGGGGGGACGGGGACTGCTCACATGCTAAGACCTGGCAGCTGGCTGGGGAGTAGGGGGTAGGGGGGAGCAGGAGGTGCATGCAGCAGAGCTCACCTTGGTGGTGCAATGCAGGTGTGGTCTGCCCTCCCCCTTCCCATCCAGCCTGTGGTTCCCCCTGAAGTGCTGCACATGGGGTGGTGCCCTGGCTGCTCCTGCCCAGGGCAGCCTGTGCCACGCTCCCACCTGCATCCGCTGGTCCTGGCTCCGGCTCCAGCCCCAGCCAGCGTGCACAGCATCCCAGCTTGGCTGCTTCTGGTGTGGCTGCAGCTGCCCAGGTACTGCATGGCTTCCCCTGCCTCCAGCGGCTCCTCCTCCTCCTGCTCCTACTGCACCACTCCAGGCGGACGCAGGGAGCTGCAGCTGGACAGCTCCTACCCCAGTGCACCAGGCTCCAGCTCCCTTCTGCCTTCCACCCATGCCGCCCGCCCAGCGCAATAAGCAGCCACCTGCAGACGGCCAAGAGGAGGGAATGTGGCTGGAAGCTGGAGCTGGAGCCCTGCATGCTGGGGCAGAAGCCTTCCGGCTACAGCTTCCCCCAGCCTGGAACAGTGCAGGAGGAGGAGAAGGAGGAGCTACTGGAGGTGCAGGGAGCCAAGCAGTACCTGGGTAGCTATATCTGTACATTCCCATGCTGGAAAGCTGTGTGTGCTGGTCGGGGTTGGGACCAGGGCTGGGGCCAGCAGGTGTGGGAGGAAGCACAGTGCCAGCCCTATGTGGGGTGCTGCAGGGGCAGCTGTGGGCTGGATCCAATCAATTGGTGGGTGCCTGTCCATAGGCCAGATCCAATCAGTTGGTGGGCTGGATCCAGCCCATGGGCCATAGGAAAACAGGGTATGAACCTTATTGACACACACACATGCCCAGAAATAACTTATTTCTGCTTAGCAGAGGAGTCACATACATACCCGTACACACAAGCATACATGACATTATCAAACTTAAGACTCCAGCAGACCAAAGGAATCCTCTTTCCCATCCTCTCTGCCAAATTTTACACTCACAGCAGTAGACAGTCTGGATGCCAGTGTCATTTCAAGGTTACCCTTCAGGCCAACCAAGGCAGGAACCAGGATGAAAACTTCTGTAATTGTCCGAAACACATCCCAATGCTGGAAGGAAGAAAACAGGAAGAACATCTCCTTTAATGGCATTCTCTCTGTAAGCTGTGTTTCAAGTGTTTATGATTCCCCCTTCACTTCCTATTCTTCAGGGAAGAAATGCACTGTGAAAGGGCTGGCATGGTCCACCCCAGAGCCAGCTGCATTTTGGTGGTGGGTAAAAGCTTTATGCTGTCTTGGGCAGAAAGACACCATTATATTGATGACTGTAACTGAAACTATCGTCATGCAGAGATTATCTCACCTTTTCTTGCTGTGAAGTTTTCCTGCACCCCCTCTGAGTCTGGTGTTGAACACAGTTGGAAACAGGGTGACTCATGAGTTGGATCCAGCAGGACATCCCCTATATTCCCATCATTACCTGGGGGAAGACTTGCATCTAGCTGTCATTTCAATCAGAACACTACATTTGATGTGACATCTCAAGCAACTTCTCTGAGTCACATAGATGCATTGTGCACCTTACTGCAATATATCACTCAGTACTTTGGCAGATCATTTATTTCCCAGCGCTGAACTATGGTAGGAGGTTAACCAAATCACACTGTAGTGAAGGAGGACATCAGAATCAAATGGCAGAGCAGACCAGCTTATCATAAGGCTCTGAGGTCTGCCAAGTCGTTGTTACCTTGCTCCAAGCACTGCAGCCAGAAACTCTTGTCACTGATGGGGGTGGGGGGAATCTGATGATCTGATAAACTGTGAGTCCAGCTGTCAAAGTCCCTGCTCATGTCACTTGTACTCAGAGGACACTCTTGCCACACACAGCCACTTAGGAACACATCAAAGCTGAATGAAGCAGATGCAATTAACCCTGACAATGTTTTGCAGAGGTAAGTGGTCTGACATCTCCAAAGGGCTGAACAGCTGCTAACCCTGCTGATGCCATGAGGAGTTGCAGGTGTCCCTCACCATCTGAAGAATTAGCCCACAGAGCACCAAACAAACATAATTAAAAAAAATTGTGAAACACCCCTTATCAGTACATGGCCGATGGGCAAAGTATGAATTCTGCTGCCACAGGAGGACTCATCATCCTGCAGTGATGACCTGGAAAAGATGTGTTAAAGGATGTTAAGAGCTATTGACAGTAAAAAGTAAATAAAAAGAGAAAGGAGAGGAGCACAAGTCAGGCTGACAGAGATCAAACAAAAGTGGAGGTCTTTCAGACAAGGGTCTTTGGGTAGATGTGATACCTTTTATTAGACCAACTGAGTAGCTGGAAAAAAGTTCTTAGCAAGCTTTCAGGCGCAATCACCCTTCTTCAGGCATAGGAAGTCTTTCAGAAACACTTTACCACCCAAAAAACACTCAGTTAAAGATGCCAGTGTCCCATCTCCTTAATGAAGGGCTATGATGCCTGTTCTATCTTACAGAAAAAACTAGGAAAAAGACAAACCTGAAAACCTTGCGAAAAATGAGCCTTAAAAGAAAAATCACACATACACACAACCTTGCACATTTTACAGATAAAAAGAGGCTAAACAAGTGATACAACTCCCATGTCTTTACATCTCCCATGCAGAATATGGCTTTGTTAGATAAGCGTGACCTTGCATTTTTAATGGTCCTGTATGAATCTGGTGGGTTTTATGATCAGGTAAATTGTTATTTTTCACTAGAAAATCTCATTGGTAACTTGCCAGGGGTCAAAAGGCTTATTTTACTGTACCTAACACCCAGAACCCCTGTCATGGAGTAGGACCACACTGTGCTGGGTGCTGTACAAATGCAAGACAAAGAGAAGGTCCCTGCTCCAAAGATCTTACAATCCAAATTGCCTGGCAAAAGGAGCAAAGCTGACATGATTATACAGAGACAATCTGCAGTACCTCAGAGACAATCCTCCAGCTCAGTTTTGTGATGTTATGGAAGCATAACAGAACCATATGCAGGCCAGGCCCTCTTTACAATGGTGTTGAGGTCCAGTCCAAGCAACCATGTGCTAGGCAACGCTGTGTGCACAGAGATGAGAGGGGCACCTGCATAAAGACAACAGAGCTAGACTTGGAATAGCAACATCTTCATGATCCTCCTCTTCAGACTGAAGGGAAAACCAATTTTGGAGACAAGGAAACACCCCCTTCAACACTGCAAACCCACTGTGAGCAACAAACTCAGAGCCCAAAACCCAGGGGATCAGAAAGGAAACCTGATTCCCTTGTTTCACTGCCAATCAGTGAGGGCTGGGGTGGTGCAGGCACTAAGGTGCACAGTTGACAGCCCCAAGGTCACAAATTTGAGGCCACAGCAGAAGTGCTCCAACAAATCTGCAAATTCTGCTAAGTACCTTGTCACAACAAAAACGCAAGAAGGAAGGACTGTTGGTCAGCAGCAGAAGTCCAGAATAAATGGAGAACAGCCAGCTCTTCCACCTCCACTCATCTCTTGAGCTTTGGGCAATCAAGGGTAGAGGTAATTTAGGTAAGTGCCTTTACCCTGGACAGTGTCCCACTGGGGATGAAAAAGAAGCTTTATTCCTGCATGCAGTCACTTGAAATACAATCCCCCTGGATTAAATGTTACTGTAACATAATGGGCAGAGTCACAAGGTCCTGCAAGGTCTGTGCCTCTCTGACACCATCAGGCAGCCTGGAGGTCAACACAACTAGCGGACTGGAAATTCCTATCACGTCAGAATTGGCATCGAGATACGCTCAACACCCTGGTGCCTCAGGCACAAACAGGTAAAAGTGGCGTGGCCAGGATGCTGAAGCACTCTAGTTCTCTTCAGAGGATACAACAGACCCTGAGGAGCTGCTACCAGTCAATGCAACTTAGAGCAGCCTTGAGGCTGCTCTTAAATTGTCCCAGGTCTGAACTCTTCTCTGTTCAATCCCAATGCAGAAAGGTGATTTATACCTTTATTCCCACCCCCACCCCTCAAGCTGAAGACTCGTCCCTCTAATTTAGATATATAATAATGGCATTCAAAATTAACAGATTAATCTGCATACAGCCCTCTGTCTTTACCATAACCTAAAATGCAAAGCTGCTCGCTGTGCCAAATTCAGCCTTAAAATAGGCAAAGGAAAAAAATGCAAGGACATTTATAGTGCAGTAATGAGACCTACTGATTTCCTACCTGGTCTCATGTTTGACCCAAGAGCTATCTCATTTCTTCATTTCCTCCACATTTGAATCTCTCTTGCCTAGGGCTGTCCAAATGGCAGCCCACAAGGAGCCCAGGGAGTGGGGCAGTGCAGCAAGCTGCATAGGGAGGGGGAAAAATCAAACTCACATGGCGAAGTGAAAGGGATACGCAGTTCAACAGTGGGGCAGGCACCCAGTGCAGCCCACATGGGTACCCAGTGAAGCAGGAGGTGGACAGAGCATCCATGAGGCGTGCAGCTTGGTGGCCTGTGCCTCACCTGGTGCAAGCCCCATGGTATGACCCTTAGGGGCTTAGAAGTTGGGCAGCCTTGCTCTAACCCATTGCTGCTATTTAGCATGTAACTGGCAGAGCATATAGGATGCAGCTAAAGATGCAGTTGCTTCTACCACATCCATCTCGAACTGGAATAAGCCCTGATTTGGAAGCTGCTCCTCTAAATGCTTCCATTTCTGCTTAGTTTTAAAAGGGCCCTGGAATGCATGTGAAAGCTTTCTCTCCCCAAACTGTTATCACCACCACTCAGCTGATGATTACGGGAAACTGCATAGCTTCTCTGGATGACTACACTCACATGTGGAAGAAAAGTTGTTATTAATAGTATCCCAAACTAGAAGCCTCCAGGGGCAGAGGCACATACCTTCCTATCTTTCTCCTCTCCCGCCTCCCACGCCTCCCCACCCCATTTGGCTCATAGTTGCTAAAATAACTCATGGACAGTCCTGACTCCTTTGAAATCAGTGACAAAACTCCTGTTGACTTCAACAGGGCTAAAACTTCCTGGCCTCCAGCAGAAATAATATTAAGCTCCTCACTGCTGGGGCTACAGGCTTTTGAAAGCCCCATGTGGCTATATATGTAACCCATTGGCTGACTCCATTTATCTAAGTGGAGTAGGAGATGACTCGCATCACTGTTCAACTCAAGAATTCATGCTGCTATTATTAAGTTATTATTTTTGTGCAAATTACTATCATGAATGCTTCTGCCAATATCTACACCGGGGTAGGCAACCCCCCGCCATGCGTGCCAGAGTGTGGCACCCACGTTTTGCTCGGCACACATGCCTTGGGGCAGACGGCAGGGAAACGCTCTGCCATAACAAGGATTGGGCCCCTCGTGGCTCCCCCACTGTCTGCTCCTGGCACACCAGCAACTTACCAGTCAAGGTTGTGGGTGCTTTTGGCACTCTTCCCAAAAACACTGCTGACCCCTGGTCTATGCACTTTGCTGACAAGCCTCCAACTTTGACCCATATGGGTAGGGAGAGAGAACACTTAACTTTAACAACTGTTTTTCAACCAACAATTGTATGCTAAGAATGTGGCTGGGAGTGGAAAAGCCAGTATCTTCCCATTTCTCAGGAGGTACTGGTAGGAAGAGAGTGGTAGGTATAGAGAGTGGAAAATTACTAGGAGCAAGAAAAAGAGATAGGGGTGATAATGGAGCACTTTAAATTGGACTCACAGGGGAAAGACTGTAAGAGATGTATAGAAAGTGCTGAGCAGGTGAGGGAAAAAATGGGTAGGCTTTTACAGCAAGGGGGTCCTTGGTATTACTGTGGGAATAATTCAGGTTAAGGAAAAAACATTGGGCACATCCACATATGCAATTAATGTGACTGAATATACTCCAGCTCAGATTGAGTTACTGTCTACATGTGCATTTAAGTGCAGTAATTTACTGTGCCGCTGGATACCGCTTGTATCTATTGGGACTATCCAATAACACAGTAAATTAGTCTACTGTACCCTAATTGCCGTGCACGTGTAGACGGTGACGTTTTACTGTGCAGTAAAGCGTCTCATGTCAACATGCCCATTATGAATAGCCTGCTGGCCTGAAGACAGTCAGACTCCAAAGGCAACACTTCAAGCTTATTACAGGTCCAAAGGAAAGGATAAGCTAAATGAGAGGGCAGGTTTCTAGGAAGTTTGCTGTTTCCTAATTGTCTTGTGCTTTATCTTTTATATTAAAAGCAATGTTGTCTTCAGGAACGCTATGGAAAGCCTATCTGTGTCTGCCTGCTTGTGCCTACAGACGGCTCCTGAAGGGTTACGCTCTAAACGTCCAATGGGAGTCTGGAAAAGAGTGTGCTAAGTTATGGGAGGGGAATCTGCAAGAGGTATCAAGTTATGGGTTCCAGCTCACTGCAGGGGACCTAGATTGAGGGCCTGAACATCCCGAGTATGTATACAGGCCCCAAGAAAGGGCAATGCCCGGACTCTGTGCAAATTCAGAGGCTTAAAATGCCTGACGATCTGGTGAGAAGTCAAGGGTGGGGGGGATTCCGGCTAGCAGTTTTCCCAGTCATTCAGCAACTGGACAAAAGGAAGAGGCACCTTCTCTAACAGATCTGCTTAAGAATCCTTCAGCGAAGTGGGTTTTCACTGAAAAATGCCAGTGTTAAAACTGAAGCATATGGGTTTTAGGCATACCTAGGTTGGTACTCACCTGGGCACTTGCCTGGAACGTAGGAAAGCTAGATTCAAGCCCCTAGTCTGAGTCAGGCTGTTTGCTTTTCTAGGGTGAAGGATAGTCAAGGGAGATCCATCCACTACAAACCTGATCTCAGCTTCATCCCAATGCAGAATGTGAAACCTTTTTAAATCCTGAAGAGTTCTGCAGGCCAGGAAACACCTTTCCCACCCAGCTTTCATCACTCAGGCCCCCAAAATTACAGGGTCAGTCTTTACAATGCAGACTCACAACATAAGGGCAGTGCATGTATGTACTCTCACTTCAACTATGAGAGTATGTACTCTCACTTCAACTATGAAGGCACTGCTTGTTGGATATTGTTCACATCTCCCTAACAAAGGAATAGGAGGGGATTTTAGAGGACACTTTGTTAGAGCAATTGACAATCCATTACAAGACTCCTAAATGTCAGAGCACCTTCTGCAAAAGTATCAGATGGTCTTCTGCAATGGAGCAGGATGCACAGGTGACAAGGGCTAGAAAATGCCTCTGAATTTAGTGAGGCTCAGTGTAGTGATGTCATTGCCTCATGATGTCATTGCCTCATGATAACTCATCATGATGTCATTGCCTGTCTTGTGTCTGATGATGTTTTGGCATCTGACTTATGATGGCTGACTGTCTGGCACTGGTAATGCTGGAGTCTGCCCAAGTAATACCTCCTCAAAGCTTTCATACTGATTTGCGGTGCCTTCACTTTGCCTTTAAGCAGTCAGTTTCATTGCCCAATTTTTCCTCTTCCTAAGAACTGGAAACAGCGTTATAAAAATCTTATCCTAATGTTTTGCTGCAAGCATAGTCCTATCCTAGCGAAATTCCCAAGAGTGTAATAGAGAAAGTAGACAAGAATAGCCTGGACTCTAGTATTTATACAACCCATCCAATACGCACGCATCCAACACGCAATATATGTTTTCCATCCAAACTGATACAAAGCTACAGCAGCATGGTAGAGCAGGGCCTGCTTTCTGACAAGTGCAATGGACACAAGTCTATATTACCAGGCTGGGGGAGGATTAGTGCAGTGCCTGTTTCCTGCTCTGACCTCTAAGGCTGCAGGTAACTGCTGCGTGTTATTATATTGCATGGTGGGGAGGGTGGAGGATGGAAAAGCCAGGGAACTCTTGTAATGCTACAAGGCAGGTTTGTGCTGAGGCCCAGAGCACATGTCGGTGAAGGCTGATAAGGAGTGCACAGTGTATCCTATACAGTACACACAAACAGGAGAGCATATTCTCAAGTTAACCTCCTTTCTTTGCCACTCCTCACATTCCCTTTGATCCAGTTTGTTCTTTGCACTCTTTGCTTTCTCTTGTTCAAGTGAAACAGCAAGATGCTGCTTTCCCAAACACTTAGGTGCCCTTGAGTGAGTCCTGCTGGGGTGCAAATGCCAGAAAAGCCAACATGCTCCCACTTGCTTCAAGCGCTACAGCTATGCTTGCAAAGCCACACCAGCAGTCTGATCTGCAGATCTACCTACATTAGACACCCAAACAAGATCAAATTGTGAGTTTCTATTTGTTCTGCTCGCCAGATTTTGATCTCGGACACTATGGTGCAAGTCCAGCCTGACTCCACTGAGGTCAATATGGGGGACTCTAAATTTACATCCATGCCACGAGGCCAGAACCTGCCCTGGAATCCCTTAGAATTAGAGTCTGGAGCATCCTAGTCTTTTTAAGTTACTGCTCTGCAGGTATCGTCAAGATAATCCACGTTCCTCCTCACTTTGAGAACTGCCATGGATACAAGAGGTTGTTCTCAGAGAACTAACTTGCTTCAAAATGTGAAGAACAATTTGCCACCACCACAGCTTGGAACTGCAGATTGATGACAACTATCTTGCAAGAAACGAATGCACTGTAGCATCCGCTTGATTCCAGTGCTAGGAACTGGTACAGTTTCACCCACGCTGCTCCCCATATTCTGCCTGGATGCAATATGTACCTAGGATACAACCTGTCCAGCAGCCCATTCCTGAATATGAAGCTACGTACTGTGTTTAGGACAGCCCTTCCTATGTACTGCCACAAAGCAGATACTCTTCAAGCCTCAAGGACTATGGTGCTTATTGGACTGCATGGCCCACCACACAAGGTCATCAGATGGGTTTTCAAGGTCATCAAATGGGTTTTCAAGGTCACCCAAGCAAACCAGCTCTCTACCCCTGCTACAAAGCTGCTTGGTCACACATACATACTTGAACAACGTCCATCAACAGGCCGGCAGCCACCATGCCCAAACCAGCCAAAAGGAATGGTATGAAAATCTGTGAGGCGATGGAGAAGGATGTCTCTGGAAGAAATCCATTGGCTGACCTGGTCAGCTGACAGGTAAAACCTCTCAGTTTCTTCCCATGGAAGCACAGCTCCAACTGCAGTTGGGTGACCACCATGGTCAAACGTTGTTAACCCATTTTCAACAGGCTGATCGGCAGGAAAAGCAAGGAATCATCCAGGCAGGCTCACAGCAGCTTTCTCTGAGGTTCAAAGACACAGTTCCTCTAACCCACACCAACGCTGCTGAGCTCCTTTAGCTTCACCTCCTTCACCCGGCAGCAGGGCTTTCCAGAGCACCGGGACGAGGTTATCTCCTATAATCAGTTCAACTTGATTGAGCTCAGGCTGCTGCAGCCTTCAAGGAAGATATTTCTCTGTGTTATCTCAAGGGAAGTTCAAAAGTGGGAAAAGAAAGATCACAGAGATGTTTGGGGATAAACAGTCATAAGTCCACACCTCCTTCCACTACCACCACTTCAGCAAGAACCAGAAAGACCTGTTCAGGCTATGGCATTAGATGAGCAGCAGGTCATGCAGGAATGCCTCAGCATACTCCACGAGGCTGGTGTCCTTTCTCCTCAGCTTATATTCCTTGTCCGGAAG